TATATATATATACTGTATATATAGAATAATCTTTTGGTTAAAACTGCTCACCAGTTTTATAAAACAAAAACAAACATGCTGCACATTTTGTCATTTTTCTCTCGTCCTTGAATAAACCTTTGAAACTGTGCTGGTCTCCCTTTTTGTTTTTCCACTGCCGTCAGATAAAACGACTTCACATCACAACGATGTTCAACAACCTTTGAGCTTTGGTCCTTCCCTTGTTTTTAGATTAAATGTCTGGCTCCAAGTAGATTTGTTTTGTTTCGCCACAGACAGGTTGCTAAGGCTGCATAAGTTCATGGTTCATGGTTCAATAGTTTTGCCAATTAAAAAATAAGTAGTGCTAGATTTAAAAAAAATGACATGAAAACCTGTCAGCTGTCGAAGAAACAAACACAGGCTAAACCAGACACAGCCTCCTGCAGCTCTTTGACTCCAGGTCCAAAGCATAACAAAATTATTGCCTTAATTGTCACTCGTTTGGATCCCACTTGCAGTCTTTKGGGATCTTCTGGCACAGGATGGTTTTTACAGTTCATCAAAAGTAAACGGATGGATGAGAACGATGCAAAAATGCAATGAAATAAAATAAGGCTTTTGTGGCTTGCAAGTAAAAACTTATGACCTCGTCCGAATTTTCCTTCATAATAAAAAGTGCTTCGATTACATTTTTTCTTTTTTTTTTTTTAAACATGAATAAAATGTCTGTAAAAGCCGATACAAAAACTTATAAAAAGTCTGTGGTTGTTTCCCGCTCAGAGCTAAGCTAACTGTGGTCCATCCCATGAGTCGCAGGCGGCAGGACAGTCTGTAAAACGTAAACCGGTAGGGGTCTCCACAGGCTGACTGATCGCTGCCCAACAGGGGGCGCTGCTGGTGAACTGCACCTCGTTCCACAGGCATCATAATACGTCTGAGCAAAACCAGCATGTGAATCAAGCATGCTACGGCCCAACTTAAGGCAAATGTGGCAAATAGAAAGGTGGCCTGATTCCTACATGTATATATATAAAAAGTCAAAAGAAAAAAAACGACAGCCACAGAACCGGCTCAGGTTCGGTTCTTCTGTCTCTTCAGTCTGTAAGGGGAGTGGTTGTGTTAAAGGTGGAGGCTGATCTTTCCTTCCTTGGCGAGCTGGTGGATGACCTCCGTCTCGAAGTCGGCGCTGTGAACGCCTGTCTTCCTGAAGGCTCCAGCGTGGTGGTTGTTCTCCCAGTAGTGGTGCCAGTTCCCCTGCTGGTCCGCACCGTAACCAAACACCGACACCTGAACACACACAAGTGTAGTGATGAGGGTAAAAAAAACAAAGGTGAAGTGTTTTAAAAATGTTTTAGAGCCTTTTGGTTTTAACACAAGGGTGGTTCTAGGGGCGGGGCCACAGAGGCATTGGCCCCAGCTGAAATCTGATTGGCCCCCTGAAGTGCCCCTGTCCTGTCACTCATCTGTCCTTTAGCTGGGGGTGATGATGATAGACTCAGTTCCAGGTTCAAACACTAGTTGCACTAATGAGTCAAATAGTAAAGTCTAGAATGAAGCAAGCTTACAGAACTCTTCCCTTCTTAAAATGTGAACAATCCTGCAAAAAAAAAAGTCTTTCAACTGACAAATGATGGCTGGATTTTCTCACGTGTGTTTTAAATTTTTTTTATCTATGTAAAGTGAAATGCATGAAAAACTGGTGAGGAGAATTTACTGTGCACGATTTTTGGTACCACTTTACAATCAAGCTCCCCTTGGCTGACAAAGAGTTTATAGATAGGTTATTAATTCATTTGTAAAGTTTACACTTCATAAATAATTAATAAATGAAATGGACAATTTTGTCTGTTTCAGAGCCAACCATATGTCATTGGCGTGATGTCTAATTAAGCCACTCCCTCCAGAAATTGTACAGTGTTCCTGTGGTGGGGTGGATTAGGATGAACCATAGAGCATTGTGTGTTGATTGGATGAAATATGTGGAATTTAGCCAAACGTACGTCAACGGCGGGATGAGTAATTAGGCCACGCCTAATTACATACTTCCTGTTGTCAGAGGGCGGGGCTTTGATGTCATATGGCCACATGTTATGGTTGGACATGCAACATGATACCAAGTTTGGTGTATTTTAGCCTTTCTATGTAAAAGTTACAGCTGTATGAAATTATAACGGGTGAACTGATGGACAGAAGGAGAGCAGTTTTAAGACAATAAACAGAATTTATATTTTTAAATGTGCTACAATCTGCATCACAACAGCAGAATTAAAAAGGTTAAATAAGAAAAAAAAACCTTAGCAGCAACTCACTAAATAAGAATTAAAATCTACAAAATTTCTACCTGATCACAAGTGTGCAGCGCGAAGACGATGGTGAGCATGCCGGTGGACGGGTAGCGACCGTGATGCTCGGTCCACTGATCGTGGACGTATTTAAAGAACAATGGATTCACCACCAGAACCTGCGAAAACACAGTTTTACCATCATTATGTCTTCAGCTGAGCTCAGCGGTGCGTGAATGGTTTCTTTGCAGTTTATAACCACCAACAAATTAAAACTGCATCAAATAAAATACATTCATTTAGACCAGGGCTATTCAACTAAACTGCTCCGGGGCCACAGTTACTGCAGGTCAACAGCTGAGGGGCCGAACACCCAGCAACTAAAGTCATTATGTAAATAAAGCAAGTATTACAAACATCTGCTACCTTTGAAATAAGCTTATTTTGCTGCATTTAATCATGAATACAACATACAGAACAATATTAAAGTAGTGATAATAAAACAATATAAAAAACAAAAATAACACATTTTACCTCATATTTAACACAAATATTATTTTAACATCTCTGACTTGCCAAATTTTTAAAACAATTTTATTTTCACTTTCATACTTTTATCTTCAACTGCTTGTAGTTTTAACTGTCTTGAATGTTCATAGAAAWGTTTTCTGTAGAAACCAAACATGTCTATGTTTAACTAAAATAACATAGTAATTGGTGGGCCGAGCTTTGGTCACTTGTGGGCCAGATGTGGCCCGTGGGCCGCCAGTTGAATAGCCCTGATTTAGACTTTTATGTACATTAATTGCATTTTCTGCACGGTGTCCTGGGATAACTTGCTCCACAATAATCCACTGAACTGAAGTGGATTTGAAATAAACTTTACAAAGCTGCCACAGGTGGTAATACCTGTGGTCTTTCATTTGTCGCAGGAAGTTTTTCATATATTTAATCAAAAACAACAAAGCAAACCAAGAACAAATAAGACTGTGAAATCATGAAAAGAACAAATATTACTACTTCATAGTCATAAACTAAAACAAATTTTTAAAAAACAAACATTAAGACTGAATAGTCACAGAGCCGATAT